CTACTCAGGAGGCTGAGGCAGGAAAATCGCTTGAACCCAGGAGGTGGAGGTTGCAGTGAGTCAAGATGGTACCACTGCACTCCAGCCTGGGCGACAGAGCAAGACTGCATCTCAAAAAAAACAAACAAACAAACAAAAAAAAGAACTTCCCCCCACCAGAAGAATGCAGGAGATACTCTGCAGCAAAATCTGTAGCTATTGTCCTAGGTTGGACTTAGAAGTCACAAGGGATCAGCAGTGGAGGTAGTTCAGGCTGCTAGGGGTTCAGAATTGTCTCTTCATATGAAAGGAATACTTAGGGTAGCATTTCCATAGTGTGAAAAGAACATATTAAAACACCAATCGATTACAGCTTTGTGTATGTGTGTGTGTGTTTTACCTTTCCTATGGTGCTGAAGCTTTGTGTTTTTTTAAAGGTGTTTGATCAGAGTGCACTTTCAACTGAAGCTAAAGAAGAAATGTACAAGCTGTATCCTAATGCCCGAAGAGCTCACCTGAAAACAGGAGGCAATTTCCCATACCTGTGCAGAAGTGCAGAGGTGAATCTTTATATACAGGTAAGGCGTAGCTTGAAACCCAGAGCACTCTGAGCCCAACATACGTTTGCAACATAAAGCCTTTTTTTTTAATGGACTAGTAAGGGAATCGGGGAACTACAGAATTCCTTGTAGGAATGAGGCATTGACTTGATAAAAGTGGTTTACATTTATAATTTGTAGGATAATGTGAACAGATGTATTAGAGATCCCTTTTCTAAGGACAGCAGGCCTGCATTCACACACTGAGGTTACCATTGGTATGATGTGACCTTGCCCTCTGGACATAGTGAATTCCGTCAGAGCAAGACATCCGACCTAAATGGGGTCAATCTGAGTCCTGTGAAGTGACTTCTTGATCTAATTTTAATGCACTAAAAGAAAACCCTGCCAAGCGCAGTGGCTCATGCCTGTAATCTCAGCACTTTGGGAGGCTGAGGTGGGCAGATCACAAGGTCAGGAGTTCAAGACCAGACTGGCTAATATAGTGAAACCCTGTCTCTACTAAAAATACAAAAAAATTAACTGGACATGGTGGCGTGCACCTGTAGTCCCAGCTACTCAGGAGGCTGAGGCAGAAGAATCTCTTGAACCCTGGAGGCAGAGGTTATAGTGAGCTGAGATGACACCATTGCATTCCAGCCCAGGCGACAGAGCAAGTCTCCCCATCTCAAAAAAAAAAAAAGAAAGCACTAACAAACACCATCCCTTCATACTCTAACTAAATGGATAATAGAATAGCAGTGAAGGGTGAGTGCCCTGGCAATTTGGCAAGAAGAATCAAGAGCCTTAAAAAACCAGTCATATTCCTTGATCCTGTCATCCCCCTATAGAAGACAGGGTCCTAAAACAGGATCCTAAACAGGAAAACTTGATGCCCGGAGATATTCATCATAGCAGCACTAGTCACAGTAGCAGAAGATTGGAAGGACCTAACTCAGCGGAAGGGAAGGGTAAATGTCTCATGAGCATGCACCATCTAAGATGTCTCAGGAGACTCTGCAGGGACTCAGGGAGACTGCTCAGGGAGTGAGGAACAAAGATCCCAAATGTAGTTTCAAAAAATTCTTTGACTTTTCTCTATTTAGTATGTATTAGTCTGTAAATTTTAGAAGTATAAGACATTTGTCTACTATGGTGATGTTTTCCTACCAAACTTTTTATAGAGGGCAGTATACATTTTACTCGGTAATGCAGCTATTTAAAATAATGATTCTGGCAGGGTGCGGTGGCTCACACCTGTAATCCCATCTCTTTGGGAGGCCGAGACAGATGGATCACCTGAGATCAGGAGTTTGAAACCAGCCTGGCCAACATGGTGAAACCCTGTGTCTACTAAAAATACAAAAATTAGCTGGGCGTGGTGGCAGGCACCTGTAATCCCAACTACTCAGGAGGCTGAGGCAGGAGAATTGGGTGAACCCGGGAGGCAGAGGTTGGAGTGAGCAAGATAGTACCACTGCACTCCAGCCTGGGCGACAAGAGTGACTCTCCAGCTCAAAAAATAAAATAAAATAAAATCATGATTCTGCATTTCAACAGATACATTTGCTACAATTCCATGGAACCAAATACGCAGCCATTGACCCATCAATGGTCAGTGCCGAGGAGCTTGAGGTACAGAAAGGCAGCCTCGGCATCAACCAGGAGGAGCAGTAGTGTGTGTCTCGCTGTCAATGATGAGTTGACCCGGTGTGTTCTCGTATAGTCAGTGGCATCAGCGCCCGCCAGCCGGCCTTTTCCTTCAGGTTCGTCAGGCTCACCGGTTCTCACTGTGTCTGGGAAGTAGGACTGATGGTCATCTTCGTGACAGGCAGCAGCTCCACTAAGCCTGAGCAAGTGTTCCCTCTTGGTTTTCTTAGCTTTTGAATTTGAAGAAGTACTTTCGAAGATTCCCATTTTAAGAACCATGCAAATTTTGCTACCAAAAGTCTTCACCACTGTGTTCTTAAATGAATGTTAACTTCTGAGGTTTGGAACTTTGTGGTGTTTTTTCCTTCTTTTCTTTTCCATTCTTCTTTCTTTCTTTTTATGTTGTTTGCTGTAAATGCTGCACATCCAGATTGCATATTGGGACATTGGTTATTTTATGCTTTCTTGGATATAACCATGATCAGAGTGCCATGGCCACTACCCCACTGTTTGCTCTCCTGCAAATCAACTGCTTTTAATTTACACTTAAGCAAATTGTTTTGAGTGTTAGCTACTGCCTTTCTAGATATTACAGTCATTTGGAATAAAAATTCAGTTTCACTGAGTCGCTTTTGTGATTATTGTTGCTGCCCAACTGGGCTACACAGGCTTAGGACTTTCTGAGAAGTAGGTCATGGTTGTCAATTCTGTGTGACTTTGGGTAAGTTACTTAATCTCCCAGAAGTACAGTTTGCACATCATAAAATAACCCTAAGCTATCGTTTATTGATCTACTGTGTGCCAGGTACCTTTCTTATCTTCATTCTTTCCCCTGAGTGGAAATGTTTAAACCCACATAAAGTAGAGAAAATGGCATAATAGATGATGTCCCCATCACCCAGCTTCAAAAATTATCAACTCTCAGTCTTGCTTATGTCTTTTTTTTTTTTTTTTGAGATGGAGTTTCGCTCTTGTTGCCTAGGCTGGAGTGCAATGGCGTGATCTCAACTCACCACAACCTCCACCTCCTGAGTTCAAGCGATTCTCCTGCCTCAGCCTCCCGAGTAGCTGGGATTACAGGCATGCACCACCACCCTGGCTAATTTTGTATTTTTAGTAGAGTCAGGGTTTCTCCATGTTGGTCAGGCTGGACTTAAACTTCCAACCTCAGGTGATCCACCCGCCTCAGCCTCCCAAAGTGCTGGAATTACAGGCATGAACCGCCGTGCCCAGCCTTGTTCATCTTTTAACCTACCCGCATTTCTTCCACACATGCTGCTATCGCTAAATTATTTTAAAGCCATTTCTGGTGCTGCATCATTTCATCTGTAAGTATTTCTATGTGTACCTTTAAAATACAGCCTTAATACCATTATCACACTTAAAAATTTACCGATAATTCCTTCAATTATTTACCAATAATTCCTTCACTATATTGTCTAATAATCCAGTGAATGTTCTCACTCACAATTATTCCATAATTTTTTTTTTTAGGTGACTTGTTCTAATCGGGTTTCATATATAGTCCACACTTTGTATTTGATTGAAGTGTCTCTTAGATTCCTTTTGAACTGGAAGCTCCTCCTTCCTCTATTTTTTTCTTGCCATATATTCAGTGAAGAAGCAGGTTCATTTGCCCTGTAGTTGCCCCACAGTCCAGATTTTCCAACTGCAGCCTCATAGTATCCTTCCACTTGTTTCTCTGTCCCTGGTATTTCCTGTAAACTGGTAGTTACATCAAGAGGCTTGATCAGGTCAAGCTCGATCTTTTTGGCAAGAACACTGCATAGGTGGGGCTGTGTGTTTCTCTTGCCTCATCTCAGGAGGCACATCACATCTGGTTGTGTCTAAGTTGTTATGATTGCTGGGTGTGTTCAGGCATCATCAGCCTGATCCAGTCCTGAGAAAGTCTCCTGCTGGCTTAGCTGCCACTGCTGACCATTGCATAGATGCATCATTCCATTAGGGGTTGCAGAACAGTAATAATACTAATTTTTATCTTTCCTTCTGCATTTATTAACTGGAAATTACCAATTTAAAAAAACCAAAAACTTGCCCTCATCAACTGCTTGGTTTCGCTGAGGTACAATTTAGACAGAAAAATAAGCATCAGCGCTTCTTTCCCTTTATGTGCCAGGTTTCGGAATATTGGGTTGGCCATACCCTCTTAGACTTCATCCCCAGTACAGCCCTGATTATCCTGACTTTACAGGTGAGGACCTGGAGACTGGGAGAGGTCAAGAGACTTGCTCAGGGTCAAGCAGTAAGGGGTGGAGCTGGGATGCCAACTTGAGTCTGACCATCCCTAAAACCAGTGATCTTTCCACAAAGGGGCCACAGTGTCTTCTCTATCTGTGGCTTGACAACAGTCGTGAGTTATGGAAACACTTGGTAAACCATAAGGGCGAAGCTTGACATTTTAACTAGTAGCATCTGAGGCTACTAGAGCCGTCTGACAGCTTTAACTACTCCCCAGCTCTGCACCCTGATGACTGCAAGTTGTCATTGCCAGCCCTGATCAATTTTGAGTACTGGTCTTGAATGCGTACTCAGGCCTATCAGGCCAGCCTTTGACAGGCATCCCAGCCTTCGACAGACTACCAGGCTAAAGCTGGTAGTCTAGCCCTATTATCTTAGGTCCTGGCATCACTGTTCCTTGGAATCCCCAGTTAGGAACGCAGCCATCTTAGACCCTCCACCCCCACTCACTCCTCCACCCCCATGTCTCAGGCTGAAGTGGATGTGGAGATGAAATTTGGGGTGCAAGATGTTTATTAAGGATCAACATCTGTGGCCTGGTGTGGTGGCTCACACCTGTAATCCCAGCACTTTGGGAGACCAAGGAGGTTGGATCACCTGAGGTCGGGAGTTCAAGACCAGCCAGGCCAACATAGAAAAACCCAGTCTCTACTAAAAATACAAAAAAAAATTGCCAGACCTGGCGGCATGTGCCTGTAACCCCAGTTACTCGGGAGGCTGAAGCCGGAGAATCACTTGAACCAGAGAGGCGGAGGTTACAGTGAGCTGAGATGGTGCCACTGCACTCCAGCCTAAGCAATAGAGTGAGACTCAATCTTCACAACAAAACAAAAAAAAATCTGTGAAAGGAAGATGGATTGGGCAGACAGCGAAATTGAACTGTGATGCAGGCCTGATCAAGTACCCGCCAACTCGGTAGGGCACACAGGAGCTTGAAGTGCCCACTGGAATATTTTCATGGAGAACTAAAATGGCTGGGTCTGTATGCTCAGTTCCCAGAGGCAGCTGCCCTGGGGAAGGCAGGGCGTTCGGTGGGGCAGCTCTCTGCAGCTGAGGCGGACACTGAAGGACTGACAGCTGGAGGCCGTCTGCCCAGTGCACTCCCGCAGCTGGATGGAAAGGCCTTCCTGGAAGAAGGGGGTCCAGGCAGTGCATTTCCACATCTACTACACCCACATCCCCTGACTCTCAGAGATCTAGCAACTTGCCTCCAGACTTCAGCATTCCTCACTACAGGCCAGGCTTTGGCATCTCTTGCCCAGACTACTGCAGTCCTCACTGGCTTCACCAGCCATCTCCTCCCACCCCCACCCAGCTTCTGTGTGGTCCACACGCAGGTCTGATCTTGTCACTTGCCAGTGCATGAACACTAAGGACCTCTGTTGTGGAAATCAGACCACAGTTTCAGAAACTCTGAAGTAGTACTGTAACCATTTACTGAAACTCTGCACACGGGAAGAGATGAGGGGCGCAACCTCCACTAAGAGCCAGGGACTCCACCTCAGTTCTTAACCTGTGCATTTTATGGGTTCATTTTGATACATGATGTGATCCAGGGCCTGCACCCACTTCTAGAAGTTACCTTGGGATCCACAGGAGAAAGGCTTTGCACTTTAAGTATATAAACCTGCTTACTATATGTGAATAGTTTTAAGTACAGTATATATCTTGAAAAGGGGCCAGGCGCAGTGGCTCACGCCTATAATCCCAGCACTTCGGAAGGCCGAGGTGGGCAGATCACGAGGTCAGGAGATCGAGACCATCCTGGCTAACATGGTGAAACCCCATCTCTACTAAAAATACAAAAAATTAGCCGGGCGTGGTGGTGGGCGCCTGTAGTCCCAGCTACTCGGGAGGCTGAGGCAGGAGAATGGCTTGAACCTGGGAATCGGAGCTTGCAGTGAGCCAAGATTGCGCCACTGCACTCCAGCCTGGTGACAGAGCGAGATTCTGTCTCAAAAAAAAGGAAAAGGGAGGGGAGTAACTGTAAGTAAATACACATTGGAAAAGTGATTTAAATATACATTTTAGAAACAAGGAGAGTCACAATTAGCAAGGGAAAGTAGACTCTGAAAGGACAAGCAGATGTGTGTTTTCCAAAGGTGGAGTCTATTCTGTTCAGTTTCTACTTTATGAGACATCTAGTTTTTGGTGATGGGGTGGGGAACAATTTCCAACGCATCTGCACCCCTCCCCCTCCCACCCCTCAGGTAACAGCTCCCCCTCCTTCCACGCATCCTGTGCTGCAGCCACACCACGCCACGCCCCGAGGGGGGTCCCTCTCCACACCTGTGGGTCATTGCTCAGGCGGTGCTCTTGGCTTGGACTGCCCTTTCCCCACTTCCGTCTCCTCTGTGAGCTTCATCCCCGTCCTTTCATCCTTCCTCCAGGAAGAAGTCCCATGGTTGTTTGCACCCATCCATTGCAGCGGGGACTGCACCCTATTTCAGTTATTGGTGTGCAAGCCCTTCTCCCCCACTAGACCATAAGCTTGGGGAAAAGGAGGGAACTGTGGGCTCTCATCTCTGTACCCACTCCTGGCAGACCACCTGGCACAAAATCCACTCAGGAAGTATTCACTGGCAGTGAGTTGAGCCGTTGTGCTTACATAGCACCAATCTGTGACAGCTTGTCTGACCTGGAATTTCGCCCTGTATTTCCCAAAGAAAAGAAATGAGTACTGGATTTGAGAGATATATTTCAACATTTCAATTTTATTGTATTTAAGAACTTTTTTGTCTCAGAAAAAAATTACAAAATTCGTTGTATAAAATTCATCCAGAGAAATGATTTCAGTCCTGTAGTACCAAAGAAATATCTGCTGAGAGAAATACTATTTTGGGAAGTAGTTAATAATTTTACAATATGCAATAGAAGCAGACACACAAACAACTACAATGTGGATACAAGTTTTGTCAAATAATCAGGAGAAAAATGAATAAAAATCACAATGGCAAATGGCTGTCCAAATTTTCCAAGTCCAACTTTATAGTGCTGTGAAGGAAAGTATGAATATGAGACTCTCAACACTTGTGCATCCATGAAAATTGAATTATTTTGGTTTAAAGATCGAATTTCGGAAAACTGAAAATAATTTTTGTAATTTCAAGGTAAAAAAATCTTTACTTTCAGAAAACACATTGTAACTGTGGTAAGCCATGGCATGCATTTATGTGAATAAGATAAAAACACAGAAATTATTCTACTCTTGTTACTTAAGGTGGAAGAGGAATAATTGTGAAATTATGTTTTAATTTTCCAGCCTGGCCAACATGGCGAAACCCCATCTCTACTAAAAATACGAAAATTAGCTGGGTGTCATGGCACGCGCCTGTAAATCCCAGCTACTCGGGAGGCTGAGGCACAAGAATCATTTCAACCCAGGAGG